AGGAATACAATGCTCCTTCTAAACGTGTAACAGCTATTTCATATTTAGAACATGCTCATTTTATGATAATATCTATGTGAAAGCACGAATTGTGCTGTTTTGACTATCGAGTGTGGGTGATAGCAGTGGGCTTCAGTAAACAAACTGTGCTAGATGAGTTCTTGTTTATCAGCCATGTTAAAAACCACAGCCATGACCTGGACAGTGAAGTTTGCCAATTTGACTCTATTTTGTCTACAAAAGCTTAAATTTAATCTGTAACAGTTTTGGGTTTTTTTTTTTTTTGTTGTTGGCTTTTATAAATGCAACTATATTTCTAAGTAGAACTAACATGAATATGAGATCCCAGCAGTTTTTTCCACTTTGAATTATTGTATTATAAAAAAGTCTGTTATTGATCTTTCTGGAAAGACAACACTGCTACCAAGATCTAAAACAGTCTTATTTTGAAAAATATTTTTGCTTTGATTTACAGAATGTGTACTCAGTTTTCTCCTAATCATTTTGTTAATGCATTAAATTCAAAATGTCAATCAGCACAGCTCTATCTTCTGCATACTTGGGCACAGGTAGTTCAAACAGAGAAGGAGATGAAAGTATTAATTACCGTCCTGACTGCTCCCCCTTTCCCTCGATTTTTTTCCAAAGATATCACTCGCACTTTGTCACTTCCATATTTCTTGCAGTACTCCTTTGCAACCTGACAGATACACAAAAAGCCAGCATAAAACAAAACCAGGAACCAAAGGAGAAGTGTACATTTGCTCACCCTTCAAAAGAAAATAAATTAATAGCACAGAGCTATAACCACTTCAGTCGGCACAAATACATTGCCGGTGCTCACTGGAGTCTGTTTGGGGAAATAAAAAACAGTTCACAGTCAGAACAAGAAGACTGAAGAAATGAAGTAATGTTCAATAAGAACAGGATATTTCCCTAAGCAATCTCAACTCCCATCCTCCCACCTCTAAAAAACTCAATCCTAATTTAATTTATATCATACTACTACAGACCTTTTCAATTAACACCAATAGTTCATAAAAGAAATACAATTTTCTATGACAGCCACCTATTTCTCACTTGTCTTGCTGCTACTTGAGGTTTTGAAGAAAAATTCATATTGATCTAAGACCTCATTCACACGGCAAGGATCTGAACATTTTGGTACATGTGGGTGGGGAAGAGAAAGCTTGAGTTTTCTTCTAATTTTTTCTAAAGGTTGTCTTGAGTCCTTTTAAGTCCAGAGGCCTGCAGACATTGTATGCTCAGTTGAGAGAGATGGTAGAAAAAATGCACAGCAGTCAAAAACATATACCAGCAATCCTTAAAGCAATATGCATTTTAGTGTCTACCTCAAACATCTTCCAAGCAGTAGAAGAAAAACCCCACAAGCTGGCTAGCCTTCCTTGTCAGTGACATACATCAAAAGCAGAAGAAAACAGAAATATTTTGAAAATACTACTACTGGCACATGGATTTTTAAATTAACAATCCCACAAAGGGTGCGGGAAAGAACTGTGTCACCTGTTCTGTCAATCACAGTATGAATGACATCTTTTAAAAGACTTTTTAGCTTCCTCAAATTCATATTCACATAATCACTATGCACATGTAGAGTACTTCAAGTGAAATTTCTTGAAGTTAGGATTAGAATTCTTAGAACCTCAGCAGCAGGAAAATGGCTGTCACAGTTGCCAATCAAGAAAACTAGAATTTGCAAAACAATAATATGTGTATTCATCTGCAGATGCACCATCCACGATGCAACAACAGAGGCAATTCAGAAATGTGAACTACAACTGTCAACCAAAATATAAATATAAACCACTGGTATATTCCACAAATATACAAAAATCCAAACAAAATTCATGCCTCTGATTGCTTGGGAAGATATTACTTTTTCTTACCTTTGCAGTTTGATCTTTACTACCATCATTAACCACTATCACTTCATAAGTGAATGAAGGATCTTGTTTCTTGAAAATAAAAGCAGAAATAATGCATTTTGTTTCAATTTCATGCAATTTGTTAAGTAGGCAGTAGGTCTTTCAAATGTCATTATTCTTTTCTCCCTAGAAGTCATTCATAGGTGCCAACAGATACTAATATGATGCAGTAAATTTGTTAAGAAGACATAATTACAGAATTTTGCCATTTTTGATGCAGATACTGTTACACTGGCTTGTCATGCTACCATCTAGAACTGAAAAATCAATTTAGCTGTAGAAGATGGAAGCTTAGAAAAACATCACTTTTAAGAAAGCCCAAACAAAACAAAATCCACAAACTTTCACAATGAGCTTCTTACCCAGACAACAAATCCTAATGAAGAACAGATGCTTATGAAACTTGCTGGAACAAACTAGGACTTAGCTTAGAAAGTTAAATGCATGGTTAATCCTTAGCTCTGTCTTGGGCAGATTTCATGCATATCAAGATTATTTCATCCTACAGTAGCACATTAAATTTTTACTTAATTTAAAAATCCTTTCTGGCACTCGACCTAAAAATAACTGATAAGATACAGAAGCATTATTTCTAAGTGACCAAGTGCTACTGTTTTAATGTACACTAACATAACAAAGTGACTAGATCACTGACTTGTTATGCATAATACACAGAAAAACAATGAATTTTGAATGCAAAAAGAAAATACCTGTCTTTTTTCTAGATAATCCAAAGCTTCATCCATCATAAGTGGTACTAGAGAAAAGGTGGAGGAAGTCAGGTTAGCAGCTTATAACACCAAAAGCACCTGCACAAGCAAGCCGAAAACAGCCACAAAGCAAGGCTGAGCAAATCAACTCTTTCATACAACACTACTTTCAGTAACCAAGCTTAGCAGCTGCAACTCTAAGTGCTGCCCTTTCTGAATGCAGAAAGAACACTGAAGAAAATCACACACATGATAAAAAGACAGGATAAAAATATTTTTTCTGAGGAACCAACTTTTCATTTTGAAGTATGTAATTCTCTACACAACATTAAAGGATAAAAACATTCTTTATGACTGAGCCTGTAAAACAGCACTGACTTTTATCTATTTAAGCAAGCTGTCAGCTTGTGCACTGCCACATCACTTTAGAGTTTGATTATTTCTATCACATCTAAATGCCTTCATTCAGTATCAGGTACTCCTATCTATGGCCAAATCAAACACAAACCAGTGAGATCATCACTTTTTCTGCTTGTCTGAAGCTGCTGTTGTCATTTTAAAGAGTGGGAAGCTCTCAAATAAATGAAAAAAGTATTTTACTACTTCTTGCCCTGCAGCATTTGAAGGGGCAATGAACAGCCATTCTTCTGGGGTTCATTAAAATTAAGAGGATTCTTACAAGTGCCCTATGCTATTTTTAGCAGTAGAAATCAAGTTACACTATGCCTTAATTTTGAAATCCAAAGTATTTGGACTGTTTTCTGGAAACTGTGCCCAAAATCTGATACATAATCTGGCCTGCCAGAATCTACTGCTAACCCAACTGACCTCTGCATTATTACAGTAACAACAGACAGATTTTCTTCTTTTCCTCAAAACTAGAAAAATCTTACACCGGTTTTCCTCATTGTATGAAGGCACAACGACAGAGAGTTCTCTTGTAGCAGGATCATGTAAATTTGGTGCCGATCCTTTCCTGCACTCAGTATCTTCGTGGGGCATTGTTTTGGCAGTCACATGAGCGATTACACAAATCTGTGATGAAGAAGAAATTAAAAAAGTTGTCAGGCATTCTGTTAGAAGCTTACCTATCTGTTAAATGTGCTACCAGGGGCAACCAAGTATATTTCAGTAACGAGGTGGGTCACTGTTGCGGAATTTCACACAGGACCAAAACCCTCTCATGCTGTTTGGTTACTCCCACTGTGATCACTGTCAGCATCATTGGCTTGCTGCTGTTTTTAACTGCAAAGCATGCAGGTGTCTCCAAAGTCGTGGTCCAAGCTCCTTCCCCAAGTAACCTTGAGCACAAAAGCAGGTGCCACCTCTGATCCCCACCAAGCCACTGAAATCAATGGCGAGGCTCACGACAGGCCAGCCATATGTGCTTGCAAAACTAAGGCTCTGATTGCTTTATGCATGGCTAAAAAAAGCGGAAGAACTTGGGTTCTGGAGCACTTTTACTTGGTGGCATCACACACAGAATCACTTAGGTTGAAAAAGAACTCTGAGATCACCGATGCCCCAACACCACCGTATCAATTAGACCACGGCACTGAGTGCCACGTCCAGTCTTTCCTTAAACACCTCCAGGACGGTGCCTCCGCTACCTGCCTGGGCAGGATGCATACGTGGCACTGCGGGCAGGCAGCACAATTTCGCTTTCCAGGGGGTCGATCTTCTTAATCTCGCAGGGCATTTCAGATAGGCAGACACACAGCCACTTCCCAAATGGTTAACGCGAAGGCGTTACCAGGACATTTCCCAACACGTACTCTAAGGCTGAAATGCTCTGTCTTGGTGCCCTTTGCCAGGCATGGCACCCCACGCCTTGCCGAAACACGCTGCCCGCACAACCCCCCGCACAAGCGCAGCCCTGCCGGCTTCTGCCGCCCGGCCCGGGCCGGCCCTGCCGCCTGCCGGGACCGGCGGATCCCCGGGCAGGGCCGGGACCCCGGGCAGCGCCCCTGCCCCGCGCCGGGGGGCGGGCATCGGGCGGCCTCGCCCACCGCCCCCGCCACGGAGCCCCCCGGGCCCGCCATGCGCGGCTCTCACCAGGACGAGGAGGAAGGCGGCGAGGGCCGCCAGCGCCAGCGCGGCTGCGGGCAGGGACAGGGGCAGAGACGGGAGCGGCGGCAGCGCCATCGCCCGCGGCAGCCGCGGGGCCCCAGCGCGCCGCGACAGCGACGCGGAAGCGGCCGCGCCGCCCGACGGGTGCCGCCGGGTGCCGCTGGGAGCCGCCGGCGCCCCCCAGCGGTCAGGGCCCGGCAGCGCCGCCGCCCCTGTGGCCGCCTCTGCCGCCGGTCCGCTCGCGGAGGCTGCCGGGAGGGCGGGCCGCCAGGGGGCGCCACATCCGGGGCGGAGACGGCACCGCCATGGCGGCGGCGTTCAAGTAAGTGCTGGGCCCGGGGGCCGCCGTCCCGCCGGAGCCGCGCCGCGGGTCCCGCCCGCGCCTCCCAGCGCCCCCCGGGCCGCGCGGGGACCCTCGAGCGCTCGATCCGGTCACCCCTCCGGCCGCGCGGGGACCCTTAAGGGCTTTATCCGGGGGCGGGTTCGGCGTGTCTGGGAGGGATGGGGTCGGTGCTGCGGGGCTGTGGAGCCCCCGACGCGTGCGGGAAGGACTGAGCGAGAGGGGTTTGGCCAGCCGGGGAAACGCCCGGCAAAAAGCCGAGCTCAGTGAGGCCCGGAGCTACCTGGTATCAGAATTGTAGAGTATACCGAGGTGGATCCTTAGAGATCAGCGAGTCCAGCTGCTGGCCCTGTGCAGGATACCCCCAGGAGTCACCATGTGCCTGAGGGCGTTATCCAGGCACTTCTTGGACTCGGGCAGTTTTGATGCTGTGACCTCTGCCCTGGGGAAGTTCCAGTCCCAGTGCCCAATCACCTCTACGTGACAAACGTTTTTCCTACTCTCCAACCTAAACCTCCCCTTACACAGCTGACCGAATTATAAGGAAGTTAAAACTGTAGGGAATTCAATGACTTCCCATTTATAACTACCCGGTTTAGAACAGGAAAATGATTTGGGTCGGAGGGGATTTTCCCAGGTGATCCCGTTCCAATCCCTGTGCCGTGGGCAGGGAACCTTTTGCTAGACCAGGTTGCTCAGAGCCCCATCCAGCCTGGCCGTGAACATTTCCAGGCATGGGGCATCCACAGCTTCTCTGGGTAGGCTGTCCCAGCATCCTTGATTCTATTGTGTGGCTTAAAAGCTTCAAACAAGGTTTAGCAAGTGCTGTTACATGAACTGTAAGACAACAGACCCTGTGTTGGGTTTCTAATCCAGTGGTACTGGACCAACACATGTGAAGCCAGCAGGAGCCAATTTATGCTGGCCATTATGTTGGTGATACCTCTGTGTGTTAGTTTGCATTTGGAAAACTTGCCTATTCCGTTTATCTTTTTTCCACCCCTGCCCCAGAAGCACTATTTTAACAAAACTGTGAATGCTTTGTTTAAATATTGGCAACAGTTTTTATTTTTTTACCTTAATGATCCCTGCTTAAAATACTAATATGTAGGTACTGTTACTAGTGTATGATTAATAGTAAGCATCAATTATTTCTCATCTGAAGCACTGTATGAAGCATATTTTGTAGTTTTACATTTTCTCAAAGATTCTAAGAAAAACTGAATAATTAAAAATTTTTATACAGATATTTGCATTGGTTTGCAGTCCTTGAGCTAACAGATATTTCACACAGTGTAGTAAAATTTTCCTTTTTGCATTCCTTGAAAGATGAAAGCTAGCAGTTTTTGTTCAGTGTATGCGCAGGCAGGTTCATTGTGAAAACATCTTTTTTTTTAGATTAGTTTAAAATTTCCTCATTGTTCTGTAACTGTATTGCAAAACAGCTTTGTCAGGCATCTTGATTCCCAGATTTTTTTTTTTCCCCTGTGTCTTGCCTACTCAGGAACTTGCATTTGAACTTCTCTTTCTATTTATTCTAGGACTGTGGAACCATTGGAATATTACAGGAGGTTTTTGGTAAGTGAAACATAAGATGCCTGTATAAGTTCCTTGCAGTGAATTTTTTCTTTCTTGCTTCTGCTCTTCTAACTCGTCTGTGTGGAAATCTGAAACTATGGAAATAGAAACTGAAAAAAACCCAAGCCAAAAACCTGTCTGAGCAGGTGAAAAACTTTTGTGCTCTTCAGAACATGCTTTTCTTTTCATCTTTCCATGGTGTTGATGCTGTTCATCTTGATGGGTGAGTGCTTCTGTTGGTCTTGAAAGCAGTTCCGGTTAAATTTGACCAAGATGGTGATGCAGGTTTTTGCGTAGTACAAAATGGTGTCAAACCAGGCTTTTAGATGCTACACAAATTAGTAATAGAGACTATTGCTGCTAACCATGCACACTGTAACTGCGGGGGAAGAACACTGAACAGCTGAACCTTAAATTAGTTCAGCTGTTACTGAAGTTGTATTGACTTAGAAATGGATCCAATATTATTGCAAATTTTGGTTCTCATAATTGAACCAAAAGAGTTTGCTTTTGAAAAGCTTGAAACTGCGGTGAGTAATCTAAAATGATGGAATATTGTTTCAGTTTCTAAAATAAGGGTTATGTGTTGTACTGATGGTATTTGAATGCTGCGTTTTCGTTTGGTGCAGGGTTTTCCTTTTGTTTTCTTTAGTTCACTCTAATTTTAAGAGCTCCACTAAGCAATGCAGGCAGTTAGAAACTCTCATTTTAAGTTTACCAGTGCGTATTCATTCTTGGATGATGTTCTGAATCTAGTCTCCTATAGTACCTGCCCTTGAGACATCAGTCTATTGTTATAGTGTCTAAATAAATTTAAATTAATTTTAAAAAATCAGGAGTTTTCTTTTGCAGGCCTACAGCCACAAACTACATATCAGTTGATGAAAAGCCAGCTATAGTCTGACTGAGTTTTCCCTAGCATTTTTGCTGGGGAAAACTCATATTTTTTATGAAATTCTGTAGCAAAAATATTACCGTGTTATTTGATAAAGTATGTTTTCTAATTTGAAGTTTGTAATTTTTCTTTAGAAGGAGAACTGTCGGCCTGATGGAAGAGAGTTAGGTGAATTTCGGACAACCACTGTCAACATAGGCAAGTGCTTATGTGGAATAATAATAATGGGGGAGGTATTATTAATATCAGGTTATAGTGGTGACCTGAATGACTTGCTGATTGATTTTCTTGGTTCTTGTATTTGGAAACCAGGAAGAGGAAGGATTTTTCTTTACGGTTTCAACAAGCATGAAAGAGAATGTGGGGTACAGTGGTATCATCAAGCATTGTTTTCAGTCCTGTTCCTGGGCTAATGTGCTCAGTGTAATTAGTCAGTTCCACTCCTGTATGTGCAGCACAGTTTAGGTGCCCTCACAAGTTTGCAGATGACACTGAACTGGGAGTGTCATCTGATATGCCAGAGGGTTCTGCTGCCATGCAGAGGGGGTTCAGCAGGCTGGAGAACCTCAACCATTCTGTATGATTGACTGTTTAATCCAGAGATTCTGTCCCACTCTGGATTCAAGACTTTGCTTAGGCTGTGTTTAGTACAAAATGATGGAAGGTAAATACTCCATGAAGGTTGGATGTTATTTAGCGCCCTTTGAAGGGAAAATAGATTTTATTGAACAGTACTTTTTCTCTTCAGGTTCAATTACAACTGCAGATGGTTCTGCCCTGGTGAAGTTAGGAAATACCACAGTGATTTGCGGAGTAAAAGCGGTATGGTTGGTTTTTATCTTTATTTATCTGTTTGCTGATTTCGTGCATTTGTGTTTAGAATTGATCGCCCTTGGAGTTACAATAATGTGCCAGTCAGATGCAATTACAGTCTTTCACCTGAGTTACTTCCAGACCTGAAAGTTAATATATAATGTAATTGTATAATCCTACCTGTATAGTCTGAGAACATGTATTTTTGTGATGCCCATCATGTACAAAACTAAAGTCCTTGTTATTTCTAGATAAAAGCTCTATAATTGAAAAAAGTTCCTGAACATGGATCAGTAAGTGTACTGGGAATGAGCTGGCTGGACTATTGAATGCCTTGTAGCCTCATCTCTACTGCTGGCCTGCCATGACCTACAAGACAAATGACTGTTCATCCCTGTACTGAGTTCTTCCATAGGAAATTTACAGACAAGGAATGATTAAAAATGACTTTTGTAAATCTCATTGTAATAATAACTGGGAAGAAAACAACCATTTGTATATAGAACAACTGGAAAATATTTTGTACAAAATTCTTCATTTTTCTCTTTTGTATTTCTCCAGGAACTTGCTGCACCTGCAGTGGATTCTGCTAATAAGGGATATATTGGTAAGTGTTTCAGTATGGATCTGAGGTTTTGTATTCAGCTAAAAGGTTGTGGAAATTGTGTTCTGTAGATTTCTTAAAAGAATTCATTTGGATCAAATTTTATTACAACTCTTCAAATTAATTTCAAAATTGACATCTAGGCATCTAGAATTCCCTTTGTTTTGCTTGTGAGTTTTCTGTATACAGCTACCTTTCTGTTGCTATTTCTAGGCTGGGCATGGAAGGAAACCTGCATCATTGTGTATATTAAGAGGGAGAAGGTACTCTATAAAAGACAGTGGCATGCATGGTTGTGCAAAGGCATGTTAACTTCTGTTTCAAAGTCCCAGTAGGCAAAAAATGTAACTGTTAAAAACTGTGAAATAAAAACTGTTTATTTCTCAGAGAACTGTAGGTCCCAGTGGTACCTCCTCACTCCTGTTTGGAGTTTCTTTGGAAATAAAATAATTCTGTGGAATTGAGAGACAAAGTCCCCTTTTTCTAAGGCATCTCCCAAATATGTTGTTTTCAGTAAGCTTGACTATGCTTAGGTTTTTTCATGAATGTTTATGCATGTTTTTGCTTCAAGTCTAAAGCCTCAGGTTTTAATAGTTGATGGAAAGCAGACAGCATACCAGTAAAGTCAGGCAGTGGGATGGAAATGCTGCTGCTTCTTGATCTGCTGAAAAGTGCTTAATACTTAAAGAAGTGTTTGTGTGGGTCATGATAGAGAAGGATTATAAACAGAGAGTGGTAGCTAGGAGTATGTGCTTTTCCATGGAATATATAGTTCCTGAGTACAGAGAGTACTGCAAGTTCTTTAATACAAACTCATGCATAACTTTATTTTTGAGGGGAGAATTAGGAAGGTTTGATTGAAGAATTCATGGTCTTGCCTTTCATTTGAAGTACATAAAATAGCATTAATAGCATTTGTTATTTATTTTTTTTATTTTTGATTACCCATTGCCTGTTTTCTTTGGTTTATGACTAATGATTCTTGCCACCTAGTTCCAAATGTGGAGCTGCCATCCCTCTGTGCAGAGAGGTTTCGCTCTGGACCACCTGGTGAAGAGGCTCAAGCAGCAAGTCAGTTCATCGCAGATGTGATTGAAAAGTAAAAACCATCTTAGTGCTGTTAAAATACAAGCAAATCTGTCTTGGTGCCCTTTCATTGCCTTGCTTACTCTCATTTTATTTTAGTTCACAGATGATAGTGAAAGAAGATCTGTGTATTGCCAATGGCAAGGTAAGTTCTGTCTCAGAATGAAGAGTTAGATAGTAACAAGGACCTGTACACAAATACAAATACAGAAGGTCTTTGAGGTTATAGGGGGTTTTAGTGTTGGTTTTGCTTTTCAGTCTTCATAGCTTAGTTTACTTCCTAAGTGCAAAATCAAATGATAGAAATAAGTATCTGTATTTAGTGTGGCCAGAATTTTCTTATATATTAGATCATTTACTTAGCTGATGGAGTATCTCACATGTGCAAACCTTTTTTGATAGCTTGCGTGGGTGTTATACTGTGATATCATATGTCTGGACTATGATGGAAACCTTCTGGATGCCAGTGTCTTTGCTTTGTTGGCAGCATTAAAAAATGGTAAGTCTTATTTAGAACAAGAGAGACATTCTGGTAAGTGTTGCCTGGAGAAATGCATTCGTTTTGAACCCTGCTAAGTGGGTAACTAGTTCATGGGACTGTTTGTTTCCTGTCATTTGAATGCAGATACAAGGTGGAAGTGATGGTGGGATGCCATAGGTGTGTAACACCTGAAAAATAGGATCTTTTTTGTACACTTATTATTGCTTTCTTAAAGGACTAACTGCTATTCTGCCATGTGTTCTCTGGTGTCAGATACATGAGTCTTTCAGCAGTGACCATGAATGAGTTTAACATCTACATCAGGGTATTTGATAATGTATTTTCTGTAGGCAGGAAGAGCTGTTGGAGGGTTTGCTTATAGAAGTACTTTGTCACAACAGAATATTCCTTTCCTAGCTTAATGAATTATAGTTTGTAAAAAAATGCGTGGCCTGACTGTTTGCAGGTGTGTGGCTTATAAATACATGAAGGAGCAGTTTAAAGGGAAGCTTACGGCAAGGCCTCCCTTTCTAACTGTGAATTGCCAGCCTTGGAATTCCCCTAGCTACTTGGCTCTTGTCCTCATCACTAGCAATGTATGGATTGTCACAGCAAGAGGCAAGAGTTAGCTGAAGGTCAGGTTGCACTGTTTCTACAGATATATACAATTCACGACATGAGACTACATCACTACTTTTTATATGCCCAGTAGACTTGGGGGAAAAAACACTTTTGGTTAAATATTCTAAAGTATTAGAATCTAAAGTACTAGAGTCTGAAGTATTTTAATTGTGTGGCATTTTGGAAGAAGAAAATATTTCTGTGTAAGGAAAAAAGCTTCTGTTACCCTCAATACAAAAATCAAACACTTCCTTGAACAGGTCATTCTAAGCTAAATACTTTCCTTGAATGCAAGAATGATTTTTTTTTTGTAGAGAGTATAATTAATGTAGGAAAAACTATTCTGATTGATTTTCAGCAGGTTAAGAGAACAGCTTAAATATTTCAGTAGTTGTTAACATCTCTAGGCCTGTTTAATATTAGACCATGTTTAATATTAGACCATTGTAATTTTTTCATCTCTTCAGTGCAATTGCCGTTGGTTACGATAAATGAAGAAACTGGTTTATCAGAAGTTAATTTAAAACAGAAGAATCCTTTGATTATGAGAAAGCATCCGGTTGCCACATCATTTGCTGTATTTGATGAGTAAGTTCCAAACTGTTTTGTACTTTATGGAAACAACAGTGTTTGTAAAACAAATGAAAGATGGAAGATGCTACCGATGATGTTTGTGCACTTCTGCCAGGGACCAGAGTGGAGCCTCAGGCAATGCTGCTCCACCAGTCTTAAATCCACAGCCTCTCTCATTGAAGGGGCCTCTAGTTCTGTGATGTCATGAGTTCACAAGACAAAGTACAGTAAAAATAAGCTTAAAAGTACATGGATGGGTACTGTTTGAGGTTTTTGAAGTATCTTTAAGATGAAAACATTACCAGTGCAATTAATGTTTCAGAAGCTTGTGTAAGTAACTGATAGAAAAGATGGCAGTGTTTGAACAGCTTATTCCAAGGATGTAGTCAACAAAGGAGGTAGGAAATAACAGTCCAGTTAGAAGAATAGAACCGCTGGATAACTGAAAACATAATTACTCAAGGTGAAGTGTAGCCAGCATGCTTAAGTCATTGTTCATGTAGGAAGAGAATCTGATTATGAGAATTCAAAGTAATCACATCTGGTAACTTGACTCCTCATCTGAAATTGTCTACTGGGTCTTCCTTAGGTCAAGAATGTTAAGAATGTGTCCTGCTGCTATTTGTAAGAAATGCAGTCATTTATGGTGACATCCATTTGCAAAGTAGAAAGTGACAGGATAGTGGTCACTCTGCTATTCAAGATTTAGGTCTGTTTGGAGATCATGGGGGGTTTTGGCACATTAATGTGTATTTACAGAAATTATTAGTAGGGGCCTTTCATCCAAATAACAAATGATGTGGGGAGAGCATTAATGTCAATTGTTGACCAAGTGATTACCAATGCATCAGAGCAGGACATTATTGTACTTTAGAATGCCTCTGTTAATTGCTTTAGTACCATTTCTGCTGGGTCTGAAGTTTGATATACACTAAGTGTTTGAGTAACGTACTAGGCAGACAGCTGTCAGTAAGGTATTATTTACACACAAATCACACATACTTACACATAGACCAAAAAGCTGCCTGGGGAAGAAGGCTTTCTGTGAGTGTTGGGCTTTGTTTCCTTCCCTGAAACCAACTGTTGCATCAAACAAGTTACTGAAGTCTCCTTTTAGCTTCTGAAACTAAGTACTGAGGGGGTGTCTGCCTGTGTTGTGTGGTTTGCGTTAGTTTTATTTTTTTTTTTTTTTAATTCTGGTTAATAGCTCTTTCAATAAAATGCTTTACATACTCTGGCTTCCAGAGGCAGTTTTCTTCTGCATAAAAGGCCTCCTTGAATAAATGGAAGTGGTAATGGAAGTGGTAGGTTGCTGGTTAGTGTGGCCATGGCTGAGGAGCACTGCTGCAGGGCTGCTCCTGTGGCAGCAACCTGTACATCAACAACAGCCATGCACTGAACTGCTCATGTGACAGCATCAAAGCCAAAATAAACTGTCTTAAGCAACCCAATGAATCTGGTTTTGAACTATTCCCAGTCTGAGTGATGTTAACAGTTCACTGACAACAAATTGAGAACCACTTTGGTGAACTTGCCAGTGGAAATCAGTTTTGCTTTAAGGTGTCTGGTAGAAATTAGTGCAGCCTACACCTAAAACCAACGCCAGTCTTCAGCGTAACTACAAAATAACAACTCCAGTCTTTCATATTGCATACTGCAAATAGCAATTCAGTGGCATTTTCCTGCAATGTCACAGATTTATGAAACTGCTTATATGCCTATTTTCCACAGTCACATACACATGATTATGTGGACTCTCCCACATTTTTTGGCTTTTTTTTTCTTACTTTTAAAATTGGTGCATTTTGGTAGGAAAACAGATAAGCTTGAGCACTAAATCCATCTACAAGTATTTTGTAAGACTACAGTAAAAATTGTATTTTGCTATAACATTAATGGAGCAATGTATACCAACATATGTGCATGCATTTCTTTCACAAGCACATTACTCATTGTTGATCCAACTGCTGAAGAAGAAGATTTAGCAACTGGAACAGTAACCATTGTAACTGATGAAGAAGGCAGACTGTGTTCTGTCCATAAACCAGGTACTTCTAAATTTACTACAAAGAAGCCTATGGGAGATGATGATGTTAGGTCAAGAAAAGATTCTGTACCTGCTTTGCTTTGTGAGATGCAGGTGCTTTATGGTAACAGTGTCTGCCTGAATAGTCATTAAATTACCTGCTCTTGAAAGGAGTTTTAAGATGGTGGGTGGCATGACTAAAGTTCAAGAAGCAGTCACAGGAGAGGACTAATTGTGGGCATGTCTCCTGTTACACCTCTTGTTTGTTTCCATTATCTTTGCCTGAAGCTAAGGCTGGGAAAGCTGTATGCTCCCCAGTGAAAGGTGCTGGTAATGGTAATTGTGTATTAATACTTGCATTTGGAAAGCACAGTTAGATACACATAACTGAAGTTTAAATAGAAAATCAAATTGTTCCCTTCAATGTTTAGGTGGAAGTCCTCTTACAGGAGCCAAGCTTCAGGACTGTATCACCAGAGCAATTACAAGACACAAAGAAGTAAAGAAGCTCATAGACAAAGTAATAAAAAGTATAACACCCAAGTGAACAAAAAGAGAGCTCTTTTCAAAAATGGATTTGTAAAAATTGTATTTGTTACAGTGTTCACAAACCTTTTATACTAAATAAACAAATATCAATACTACATTTACAAAGTTCATCTTTTCTAAAATGTTTTTCACCCTCATTCTATGTACAATGTTGTTGACTGGTAAAAAATACAAGATAAAACATTCTGTTAAAAAATTAAGTGACTAGAGGAAACCAGATTCTAGCCACTTTATAGATTAAATTTTTAAGTTCTGTAGGGTTGGCTTCCAAAATCAGTTCATTTCTTTTAGTGTAATGTCAAAAGTTCATTTTCCCACCAGTAATATAAAACGCTAATTTTATTTTAAGTCTTTTCCTTAACAATCTGAAAAAAAAATCCCCTTCCAATCAATTTTTTTGTGGGGGGAGGCAAGTCTCATGATTTTGGAGGGGCTGATGTGCCTCTTTTCCTTTTACTTTTTGAGTGGCTGCCTGAATGTTGATGATGCAGGTGAGCTGCTTGTGCTGCTGCCGCTGCCATAGCCATTTGATGCTGCAAGAATCGCAACTGCTGCCATGGAGGAGAAGGGAGAAAAAGCTTGTTAGTGTTGACTATAAAGCTTTCACATCAGGAAGAATGAAGAGGGGGAGAGAAAGAAAAAATAAAGAAGCACCAAGTTGACAAAAGGAACACACCATGTACTGGGGCAGTTGGGTACAGTCAAGCAGCACCAGTGGCACAGAAGCCTGCTGAGGGCACAAGCTAACATTTTACATGTGAATGTGCACAGCTTTGTTTCTTTGCCCTTGCTCTTCATTGCAGTAACTGCAGTAACTCAGCAACTTCACTGAGTGTTTGGGTTACACAGTACCTTTTTAATGTGATAGCTTCTCAGTGTATGCATTGTATGAATTTTCCGTATATACTACAAACGTGCGACTGTGTGCTAAAAAAGCTAAAATGTTTTCATGAAGCATCTGAATGGTAAAGGAGCTTTGCAAAGCTCTTGCTTTCATGTACTGACTGTAGCAGGGCTACATTTGAACTTCCAGGTGCTTACATCCATGCCATTTTGAAATCTATTGGCACCTGGTATAGTATTTAGATATGTGCCACAAGCACCACTTGAATGTTTGCAAATCAGGAAGGTGGAGGGCTTAAACGAATAAAAATAAATTCAGTGCTCCAAGCTGAGAGAACCACAGATTTCAGGTGTTGCATGATAGTTTGCCAAATACATGTTGGTTTTGTTGTTTGTTTTTCTTTAAATTTGCGAGACCATAACTGCATTAATTAAAAAGAGAGCCCAAGAGGGTAATATTTTGGATTTTGGAGCCAAGAATTGTATTTTTAATTTGATTTTTTTTTTAACACAGTCAGAGTGAAGTTGCTGGATTACTTGTATCTGTTGCTGCTGCTGCTGCAAGGCTTGTTGTTGTTGCTGTTGCAAGGCAGAAGAGAGCTGGAGTCTCTGCTGAGGAAGGCTTTGACCAGGTCTGTTCACAGCAGAGCCAAGCTGAGACAACACTGAGAAAGGAGAAGGGGAAAGCAGGCAGGTCAAAGAGGTCAGATTGAGTTGGTCAGGGGAGGAAGACATAGGAATACAGTGTAACAGGAAAGGGGGATCAATTGAATTAGTTTCAGAGTCAGATTTGGAACAGTGCAGAATAAAGTATACATGATATACATACTCTGTTAGTTAATTAGATTATGAAGTGCTTGTGGAGACACAAAGGTTTCTCACACTGGATGTTAAGCACAGAGTTAAAGAAACATTCCTTAATGAAGTCTGGCATGAAGTTCGCTGCATTTTCATTTTGTCTTAAGTGTAACTTGCTTTCATGTGATACTATCAATTGATGGCACTTAACTGCCAAACAAAGCAGAGAAGTGCATGCTTTAGAAGTCGAGTATTTCTCATAGAATTCATGTCCTGATAACAAACAGTAAATCATTGTGATCTAACGTAAGACTTCCTTAAGACCAAACTTCATTTCAGTGTGAATTTATCAACATAAACACTTTGCTACAAAAGGAGGCTCAGCAAGCACATACCTGTGGCTTGAGGTTGCATAAAATTCCCTACTCCAGTCAGGTTAATTACAGCAGCTTGTTGGGCAGATAATGCCTGATCTTGATTGGATGGACCTTGGTCAGACCCCTAGCAAAAATGAAAAGCTTGATCCTTATTACCAAACTTTCATATCAATGAATAAGCAAATAAAGCCAGTGTGAAGGCAAACTTCTGAAGTGCCATTTAAAAACATTTAATGCTACGTCATCCAGTGTGTGCCAGATACAGGCTAGTGTAGTCACTAGCAGTGGAACTAATAGATACTGAATACCCCAGAACAGCTGTGTTTTGGCAGAAATGGTAGTGCTCCTGTCACTCAGCAATAGTCCACATAGTTTTCAATTTCTCTGCAGTCTAGCAGCGACTACACTTCATGGTTGTAATCTTACAACAATTTCCTGTCCCACTCCCAGCCCCAAAGTCTTCTGAAATACCCATGTGCAAAGGTCCTAATCCATCAAAGTGTGCAAAGGCTGATGCGTTCCCATGTTCATATTGTGCTACACATCTTAATTTCATAAAAGTACAGACCCTACTTTTAAAATCACATTATCAGAACACAGTAGTTTTCACAGTAATCACTTAAACCGAATTAATGGAGTCTGACCAATGTCTCCTGAAGTCAAAGGGTGCTGAATTATGACCTCTTTTAGAACTTAAATTACGCACTGATTTATAACAAAGGAAAATAAAGCATTATATGCACAATTCATTATATGCATGGCTTATGAGTCAGAAAAAAGATGGTTCAGTCCAGGAGTTGCAATGCTTCTTCAGCATTACATTATAATGCTACTAAGATCTAGGAAAACCAGACCAAAAGATTGCATGTTGAGACATAATCACCTCCATGATGACTAGGAGTCATAGAAACACCATGTGGGGAGAATCCCTAAGTATGACAGAGAATGCATGTTTATATTATATTGGTAGCACAGAAAATTGTTGCTGTTTTTGGGCCTAAGTTTTTTCACTAAGCACTGTGAGCACATAACATTGCTATCCATACCAAAGCTAAGGAATCTAGCGTTCATAATATCTCATTTTAGCCAACAACCCCCTCCTCTATAATGCAAGGTATGAGAGAAGTTCCTTAAGGCAGTTTAACCAGTGCAGAGATTGATTTTCTCCCGAACTTCCTGCCACAAGAACTATGCTTACGTCAGCCTTTTTATAAATGCCCTTGATGTTCAATATCTAGAAAATAAAACCCAACAGTACAAGGTCACATTACTTTTTTTTTTTAGTAGTTCAATGACTAACTGACATTCAGAGATTCGGATGCTGTGAACAAATTGCAAAGTTTCCCATTAAACCTTCCCACAATCCAGAACAAGGCCTGTGGCACAGGAGGCTATATACCATAAAAAAAATCAGAGAGGCATCTTATTTATGAACAGTCTACAGTATCACAAGTGAAATTATGACTAACGAGTACCCAGTAGAGAGTATTTGGTTAAGCAGAAAGCTTGTGTGTCTGAGAACTCAAAAGCAGAGCAGCTAGTTTTCTCATACTGCTGCATCAATGTTGGTTAGGATTTTTACTTGTACCTCAGGATTTTTAAGGTGCAACTGACCACTCAAAATTTGTCATTTAAAGATGGATCGGTGTCTATCAAGACTTCAGATTTCCTCAGTGATTAAAGCCTTTAACACTTATTACAGGCAGCAGCAGAGCAAATCTGTTAAGATTACAGCTTTAAAGACAACTTGTATTTCCTTTGGTGCAAAGAAAATTCTGCTGAACTACAGCAGTGAGGTTTGTAAGCCAACTCACAGCAGTATCAGTAACAAGTGTTTGTTTCTCTGTTATAATGCTGACTGCATTTCTTGTCTGTTCATCTGATATATCTGTTAGCTATGATAAACAAAGCACTAAGCTGATTTTATACCACTCATACAGTGGGGCTGGCTCTCTTCATGACAGAGTTAGACAATGCTCAGCAGTTGTTATAGCTTTTCTATACAGGATACAAATAAAGAAGTACAACCCAGCTCCAGCCATAGCAACAGAGCCACTGCACTCTTTGCTGTTTGAGAAAGTTTAGGAGGAAGAGTTTCCTCCCCCTCTGCTTCAGATCCATGGGGTAATGGCTCATTTACTTGTGGAGATGGGGAGAATAGGAGGAACTGTTTCATCCATGCACCCCAGACTGAGGGCTGTTAGCACACACCTGTTCTCCCTGCTGCTGAGGACTACAGGTTGTAGGCTGCTGAGATTGCTGCTTTGGAGAAAACTGTGACAGCTGCTGCTGGAGTGGGTTAAAAATAAATGAACCACCTGGAAGCTGTTGAAGATTAAAAACAAAAGGCATAATTCAATCAAACTGCTGAGTTTCCTACTGTTCTAGGATGAAGATTGTATTGATAGTGGTGTACTTCCCCGAGGCTTGATTTTTTGTTTTGTAATGCCTTTAAAGTCAATCAATGTACAATTGTTGCTGTTTCTGAAAAAGGCTCATGCTCTGAATACAAACTTGAATGAACTGACAGAAAGGTATTTCCATAGGAAAATATATTTTAATTATTTTAATTAAAATGGCAGATACTGTACTGAAACTGGAAAGATAAATGCCAGTCTTCAACAGCACTGTATATAATTTCCACTTTCAGAATATTTCACTGAATTTTGATAGTGAAACGGCCTTGATTCCTCTCCCTTACCCCAGCCTTAATTGCACTTATTTCAGCTAAATTGTTCTTGGTTTATATGAGTGGCAGAGCTAGCTTGAAAGAATGTCCTTCATGGAATCATTCAAATACAAGCATTTAATTCTATAGAAGATCTTCACTCTGACATAACTGCCTCCTGTGCCTGCCCTTTTCCATCTTTCTGGAGTGTACAGGAGTGGGAAAAGGAAGTAGCAAAGCTGGTAGTAATTTTTTGAAGCGTGGTGCAATGTATGTGGAACACTGAAGCTGCAATTCTGCACCTACATCTGGCAGCTGACTGCAAGGTCTGGGAACTCCGCCCAGTTCCACAAACAACCCCTGCTCTGCTTTTAAAAGCAACTCTGACATAACAAACATCTGCTCATGTTTGTATTTGTATGTATGCTTAGTGCAAATAAAGCATTTACAGACCTTCCAAACTCCCTATCTTACATGAACTTTCATTTCTAAAAACTCTTTAAACCTATTACTGCACCTACCTGTGCATGCTGAGCTTGGCTTTTAGGCATTCTATGTGTAACCTCTCAGTGATTCTACTACACTGTTTTGTACAGTATAATTGTAACTTTAGTTTGTGATCTGCAATGAAACCTTAGGCAAATCCTGAAAGATTGTATTTTAGGGTTAATCTTTTGAATTCACATGTCAGCATCTTTATATTGTTACTGAGAATTATCTGTTTTTTTCTGAGCTAGGAATATAACTTCCACCTTGTATGTCTATGGAGATGTCTTTTCTCTTATTCTAAGCCTTTTAAATAAGCAATTAAGATTTGCAGTAAATGGTCTGACCAACTGGCTCCAAAGATCTGTGTGGGGCAGTGCAGTAAGCAGCACTAAGCAGGTCTCTACAGAAAGATAAGAAATTATCATTATTATTGTGTCCAAGTATATAAATTACCTGTAGAAGATTTAAGGGCCGAAGATTTGATGTATTTTTCAAACCAAATGGGCTGCCTGTTAAAGAAAACATCTTTTTATTAGTAGTGAGTCTTTACTCAGTTCTATTTGTGTTTTGCAGTACACCTTTCCACTGGGACTATTTCTAAACATCTGGAAGTTGGAAAACTGGCAAGTGTAAATTGAGTGTAAACTTAATACTAAGTGTATAATAATACAAGTATAGTAAAAATGTAATACTGGCATGTGTAAATAAGGTGTAAACTTAATACAATGCTGCATTTTCCATAATGCAGCTCATAGTTATTCAGACTCAAGGTGCACAAGAGCTGACTAAATGGAAAGAAATCTGTATCTCTACATTAACATTATACCCTGTGACCTATAACCTGTTGGTGCATTTACACAAAGGTGATTGTGGAGAACACCACAGCAGTTATTTTTCAGTGATCCTTCTTCTGCCTTTAAAAAGCTTTACTGTTTGTACAGTAAATCTAAAAACGTCCAAGGGCTCAATGAAGTAATACACTCTTATCAATCTTTAACAGAAAACAATCCCACCCCAAATCTGAGTGACACTCCAGTAAGACAGCAGCTCTCAAACAGAAGCTCTGGAGGTCTTGCACAGACCTAGCTCAGCTCATTACCTGCATCTGTTGTGTGTGGGTGACAGCACAGCATGTACAAAAATGTGACACCTAACTGGTAGAAGCTGATAGTGCTTGAAAGGACAGAAGTAGACTAAAAGCAATCCTCATGAACTGAAGAAATGGTCCAAAACTCAGTAACACTGATTTAAATAAAGACAAATGACCAAGTACAAAATTGTAACTATCTTTGCGTCTATACAGTAATAAAGGACATGTGAAGTTACAGGAGGTCACAAACATATCCAAATCATCCATATCACAAACTACAGAGCACACAAAAGAAAAGAACCTCTCCACACAGTTTACATTTATAAAATTCACTGTCACAAGATGCTGTAGAGATTCCGAAAATATACATGGGTTCAAAAACCAATTAGATAAATGCACAGACTAGAAATCTAGCACAGGATATTAAGCACAAAGATCCATGTGGATATTCTTCAGCTGAGAAAGTCTCAAAGCTGTAGATTGCCAGAAGAGGTACAGTTGTAGACAAGGGATGTTTCATTTCACACTTATGTCTCATCTCAAACACTCTCCTCAGTATCCTCTAATGGCAACTGTCAGAGACAGAATATAAACTGGATGGATTTTTGGCCTAAACCAGTAAAGCCATTCTTATGTCAAGGTAATGCTGTTGCAAAAAATACAGATAAAAAATAGGCAGACCTCATTTGGGGAAATGTTAACAGGAATGTTGTGAAAGAGATGAGATGCATTTATTCTGCTGTGCTCCACAGTGGTAAATCAGCCAAGCTCAGGCTTGTGTCCCGTTTTGGTTATCACATTTTAAGAAGGATGTAAGCAAATTGGACAGTCTAGAAAAGAGTGACAGGATTATGAAAGGTTTGAAAAATACGACCTATCAGAAAAAGACAAATGTGGGACATGACAGCATGTTTGATACTTAGAAGGTAAAGAGAAAGAGTGAACAACTATTTTTCACATCTGAAGGATATAGGAGGAAAAAAAAATTGCAATTCAGGAGATGCATTGTAATTAGAAGGAAACATTTTGCATGGATAATGAGCCACTCCAAACAGCTACTGAGGAAGACTGGAATCTTCTTCAGTGAAGATATTTAAATACAGTTTATATAAACACTGGTTCAGTATGGTTTAGACAGATTTAACTCTTAGTATAAGGGATGGATATCTTGAGGTCTTTGACTGTTCTCATTCCATAACCATACATTAGACTCTTTTTTATTATATATTCAGAAAAAATAAACTGATAATTTAAATTGTGCTTTTAAGATTTATATAGTTGCATTTGAAGGCAATAAGGAACTACTTAATTGTTGTACAAGAATAAAGTAGTACCAGGGCTAGAATAAAATGCCCCACACATTTAGAAAGTGAGGCCTCTTTCTAATTTCAATCATGCCTTTTTTCTGGCAGTCATCATTATCAAAATTTCATTTAAATTTGGAGTTTCTTCTGAACTTCTTATGAGTGCACCAAACAATCCAGGTTTTGACTGTGTACCCCCAGCCCAGCTCACCAAAAAACAGCTTAAAACAATCTCCAACACAGCCTACACCTTGAATACAAAAAGATGTATGTTGTTCCTGAGCTCCAGTCATCAAATACACAACCTCTTCACATAAAGGCCACTTCAGTGCACTTTTCTCACAGAATGTTTTCACACTGTCCCTGTCTGAAGGGTGGCTTTTCCACTCAGTCACACTGACCTGCTTGGGAGGCAGATTGCATTGCAGCGGGCAGCGCACTTGGTACCAGACCTCCTGGGGGTAAAATGCCACTCAGATTTATACCTGCAGGGGCTATGGCACCAGTGTTGCACCCCAGCATAGGGTTTGAACCACTCATCAGTGACTGTGCTCCACTGTAGAAGAGGAAAGACAACACATGAAACCCAATTGGCACAAGTAAGTCTGAATAACTAAACTGTTGCCCTCTGTCTCATGACAAGTAAATCAGTAGCTTGCTGTAAATTATGGAACTATGGATAAAGCATCAATGTAGCTTAAAAAAAATCATTTTGCCTAGAGCATAAGATATATTTGATATTATGAGCACATACTGGTTTTTTTCTTCTTTGATATGAACTGTTAAAAATAAACCACAAGTGGTCCTTTCATTCTAGAAATACTAAAAGGCCAACAGTCTGCAAAATGGTTGTACTATCGTAAAAGGAACAGGTTTGCTCTTTTTTCCCTATAAAAAAAGTAATTTATCAACAGTGACCAGCTGCTGAACACCTTAGCCGGGTAATTTGAATGTCTGATACCTGCATTGAAGCACACTATGTGTCTTACACTGACCATCATAATTGCAGAATTTTCTATAGTCTAAAAAGCAGTTCATGTTATACCATACCATCTATTCTTGACAGATTTATTCTCTTCAAACCACAAAATGAGTTTTAAGGATCAAAGAGTATTTCACCTCAATGCTTTTTCAAATTGATAGAAACAAATCTGTTCCCATTTTTCGTTTAGATTGGTCTGCATATGATATCTACTTCCCCTCTGATTAATAAAAAGTTTTCAAACTTACAGAGCAAAACCTCAGAAATCACTTAAATTGGGATAAAGCTTTCAGAAATGAACCTATATGACTCCACAAAGATAAAGCAATAAAGGCCTTTCTTAATAGATCTTTTCAATGCTCTAATAGTAGGTGACTTCTATCTGAGAAATACAAATAGTTTCTAGTGGCTCTTCACTCTGTAAATACAAAGTGAGTGATCTTTTTTGTACTGCAGATCCTGAAAAATATTTACCCTAATGGATGGTGGACAGTCCTGGATCACATCCCCTCCCACCAACCAACCCCCATGGCAAATTAAGAAACCATCATAACAAGAGACTTACCACACAGAGCCCACTACATTGATGAAGTTAAGTCCTGCAGGGTTTGCCATGACCTGGGTGGAGGTTGTTCCTGTAGTAATGGATGTTACCATGGTGGAAAGAGGAATGGTCATTACAGGCAGTGCCTGGCTCAGAGACATTTGCTGCTGAGCAAACGGGGTTAACAAAGTGGGCTGAGGGGTGAAGCCTGAATCTTGGGGAGTAGGGGTGGCAGAAGGGGTAATAGGAGTTGAGCTCTGAGCATCAGGAGGGTGTGGGGTCGATGAAGGGGTGTTGGTTGGAGTAGGAGTAGATGGTTTAGGAGTTCCAGACCCTGCTCATTGAGAAAAATAAAAAGTGCTAGTTTGTTATAAAAGGCCAGTCCTTTTTGTATAAGGTTAATGGAATCTTAGCATTGACAATTTCTTCCATTTTTTAGACTGCAAGTGTTAATTTCTACATGACAAGTGTTGCAGCACACACTCGTTGTTAAGGATGCAGTATAATCCCAAAGAAAATCCATTCTCCATGCTTCATTCCTCGTAGCATACACCAATTTCTATTTTCCTTTAAGGCTTCCATCATCTATCATACATCAAGTCATAATTCTATTCAAGAAAACTTAAAATAATTTCTTAGTGACCATTTTAATCTAATTAATGTTTGTCCTAAACAAATAGTATCCATGTACTGCCTGCACAATAGGTTCTGTTAAAAACTTATAATGGAAAACAAGAGTCAGCAAGATCATGTACAATTTCAATGATCATGGGGCTGATCTAAATTTCATCATAGTCAAACTGCAATTTTCCAAGTAATGATCAAATAAAAAGCATCTATCTAATATTTAAGAACCATAGAAGAGGATAATACTGCATCTTTAAAAGCTACTGTGTAATTCTCTCTACTTAAATGTAACACAAACAGCTGTATTTGTTGTGGATGCAGTAGGCAAAGTCTATCAATAGAAAAACAAAACAAAACAAAACCCCCAAAAAGCTTGAGCTGTTCTTTTTTGTTTTTCTTTTTTTTTTTTTAAGCTTTTATGCCCTGCAGAAAGAAAGGAAATTAATATGAATCGTGGCCAGAGCCTTAAAGTAACTGTGTGCAGCAGATTTACACAATTCATAACACTAACATAAATCCAGACTCAGTATTTTGGAAGAAAACTTAAGTTTTCTTTTTTATCTTGTGCAAAACAAGAAGGCAGAAAAGTTACACCTTTTGAGCTACCCAGATTTTAAATTATTTAATGCAAAAAAGCATATTATAATACCATGCAGGATACTGGAATGTGCAGTATACAAGTATTCATTAAAAAATTTGAGAAGCTGCAGCTATGGTTTCCTCTTTGTACAGATCTGTTCACAAAATGGCTCAAGACACATACATGTTTTAGAAAACATTTATGATCTACAGCTAAGATTACAATGATCCTGTCAGTGTTAATGAAAATACTTTAACTAGGATGTCGCTTCTGATTGAAATTTGCATTTTTACACCTGAGAATATGGTGCTATCATCAGCAGCATCACCACCACACTTGCAATCAGCAATGATTTGTAAAACAGTGTAGGAGTGTTTTTAAAAAATCATCTTATCGTTTATTGTATCATCACCTCGGGACTGATCAGATTATATACATACACAGATACACAACTGCACCAGCTCCTATAACATTTAAAAAACCAGATGCTTAAATAATGTAAAGGCAAATTGATCTAACATACTGTTTTTACACTGGAGGAAAAAAATCTACACTTTGGAATTTATCTCATCACATCATCTACCAGCCTTTCATATATGAGGAGATCATGCTAATTGCAGAAAATGTATTAAAACGTATACACAGAGGGTGCATACATATATATACAGAAAACGAACACAGTTACAATAAACATAAAATACATACAGCGAACAAGAGACCTGCCTAAAGCTGCACAACTTATACAATTTAGGGTACACTGTACACTTAAGTTTCATCATTCCACAGGTTAAGACGTTTATCTCAGGAAGCATTTATGCAAAAGCCTAAGATTTAATGGAGAATTTAGGTCGTGACTCACTTTGTGAAGAGCTCGCAGGAGACATGGCAGCTGGAGAGAGCATGCTAACTTGATTAAGATCCATAGATTGTTTCCGAGAAAGACCAGGAGGCTTAGAAGGAGGAGGTGGAGTTGGGGATTTTAGATGGCCACTTGACTGTTGTGAACTAAAAATATTACCTGAAAAAGCATAATTAAAATACATTACTATTCTGTGAGTACATGTTACCTTGAATATTAAAATAAAATTTTGTGAACTATATAATCAGAAATTTTAAAAAAACCCAAAAAACCAAACAAAAAACCCCATGCTCTTATCACAGATAAGATTCTGGTATGTTTTAATTAAATCTTAACTAAAGGGATATACTTTCATTTTACAACAGGCAGATCATATTAAAATTAGATGTTTGAGTCAAAAAAGAATTACCTGAAGAGCTACTTCCTGAACTTGAAGGTAATTTGATAGGAGGAGGTCGGTGTTTTACACCTTTCCCCAGTACTGAAGACTGAACAGAGCCTGATACACTTTCCGGCTGCTGGGAGGAAAGAGCAATTAACACTACCAAAGCAATGACAAAAGTTTTCACACAGCTGACAGAAAAGGCAATTGGTTGTATGAAATCAACTGATTTGTATGAAGGCTTCTAAGAACTATGACAATATTCCTTTCAGCCATTTCAGATGCTTATGCATTTATTTTTAAAAAATAACCTATGATGAACTCTCTTTAGATGGAGTCTTTACCATCAAGAAACAGCACGAAAGTGCTAGTAAAAATTTAAACTGAGCAAAAAAATAAGTAATATAATTAAAGAGTTTCACTTTTCTCCATAATTCTGGAATTTCTTGTAGTAATTTTCACAAACACAAAAGTGATGAATACACTTGAAATAATAAAACATTTACATTTTACTTGAAAAATGACAATTTCATTCATTCATTCTCTATATACCTGCCATTTTCAACCAGGACAGACTTAAAGAACAGGATCAGAATTGTTTATTCTGGGAGCAGGATTTCAAATAAATTTAGGAAAATCTTGAATGCAGAGAAATCAAGACACATTTCCCCACTGGTTTCAGTGGGACCAGAACTTCATACTCTTAGAGGGAAGATACAGCCTTTTTGTTTGCTTTTGTATCCTAATCATCAGGTTATCTGAACATGTATCTGCTTCACCTATTTGAGTCTGTAGTTCTCAGTCACTCACAACAGACCATACATCCATAATTCCAACAGCTGACACTGTCTAAAGACTCAACAGTGAAATGCGTTCAGTTATATTCTATGTGGTTTTACCTTATAGCAGATGTCCATAAATGACAGTACTGTTTAAACAAACATACAGTGTGCAAACTGCTGAAACTGGGAAATGAGGCTGGCAATTTAGTGAACGGAATATGTCAATACTGGAGCCTCAATTAAATGTGCATGAGCTAAGAAATCAGAGCATTGTGCAAAATCACCCTTTTTGGTGAGCTTAACTTCCAATGATTCTCAGTGATAAGAGACAGCCCCTCTCTATGTTTCTAATTGCTTGCTTATAAAAAAGAATCTTTTGAGGAAAATTCTGAGGTCTACCTTTCTGTTCTTGTATTAAAATCTGCTTTCTTGATTTTGAAAATAAAGACCAATGCTCCATTCCAATGGTAACTAGATAATTAAATACAGTAACCTGAGTAACTCTAGTCCAGCTTTTGGCAGGGGCTTGGACAGGCAGACAAGCTGACATTGGCAAGCACCCTTCCACCCATTTATTAGATGATTTTATTGTATATATACACACATGCATGTTGTACGTGTCTGTATGCCTGCACACATACATAGAAACATCCATATTCCTTTCTGCAACTGCTGGCCTTGGAATGCTGCTGGTCTGCCTGACACCAGGAACTACCTCCTTCAGAAAAACATTGTTGGAGCTTTAAAGTAGATATTTAGGGGAAAGATGTCAAGGAAACACCCCAGGGGATACAAATCTCATTTACTAGCTGGAGTATAACACACAGCTCACTGCTGAAGTAGACTCTGACCAAACAAAGCCAGAAGCAGCAAGTAAAATGCAAGGCAATGCCAACAGGCAGGGAAATTTAGGAATGCAAGAGTTTATACTGGAAATGTAGAAATGCGTGTGCATGTAAACATACATATACACACTTTGAAGTTGTTGGGGTTTGTGTTTTGGAGGTTTTTTTATATGTTTGAGCTTTTTTTGCCTTTGGCTTTTTGTTTCTATTGGTTTTTGTTTGGGTGTTTTTGTAAGTTTTCCTCTTCAAATTGAAGAGAAAATAATTTGAATTTCTAAAGGTAAAAGAAGTTCAGCTACTCCATCTGCTTCTGTGTTTACTGACCTGCAAAACAAGACACACAGCTGCATTTTACTATACTGCTCTATGAAAGTTTCACCTGAACAGGGGAAAATGCTAAAACAAAACTTTGGAGCTAACTACATGATACAGATCCAACCTCCCACCCCTTAAAACAGCTAAAAGACAACATTTGAACATTGAAAACATAAATGTTTTCCACTAACTTTTCCAATATACTCACACTGAATGATCATGACCATAATGCATTTAAAAATTCATTCAGGATAACATTTTTAGGTTATTTTACTGTTAAATGTGGATTGCAAAATTTATTCTAATATTTCAATAATTAAGCGCAAATAAAAGAAATTTGTAGCTTGATAAACTCACTTCCATTTCCTTCCCTGGAGAAAGATGACTGACTGATCCACTTGAATTATGAAACATTTTCACAGTACATTTAGCTTCATTTTGCACTAACTCCTGGTACTGGTTCACCACCCTGAAACAAACAATAAGGACATAAAAAGATTAACAAGTTGGAACTTCCAGAGTATACTTACAGATAAACACATAATTGTATATGTTATAGTTATATATTTTATATATTGTGTAAGCATATCTCTATATATAACATAGAGATGCACATATATAAAACATACTTATACCTCTTTGTATCTTTCTACATTATATTCCTGGGCTCTCAGATTTATTAAATTTTAACTTTTAATCTCTTTTTTTTTCTAATACTAAATACAGTGTGAGAAACACTCTACTGGAGGAATACAGAACACAACAGAACAGTTCCATTCCCAAAAGCAACTGCAGATCTTTGGGATGTCAGTCAACAGGGATCCTATTCTCCCTTTATTACAGAGGTCCAGAATATTTTATAAAAGAGTCCCTTCTGGTTATGCTGCCTGTGAAACAGTCAACCCTCCTTCAGCTTGAGGTCCATGTCAGATGAGGACTCTAAATGCAAGGGCTGAACAATCACTCCCCTGTGAGCATTATGACAGACATTTGCTAAAGCATCAGGGAAACAAGTTTAAAATATTGTTTTATCAAATTGAATCAGATACTACATCTCTACTCATCTAAGACAACCAAGCTGAGGGAACACTGTTTCACAAACATGAGTGGAATATACAAAATGACCTTGAAATATACTCCTCTATTGTTTCTTCTTGTCCTTGTCCCTGAAACCCTGTTGCTTATTCTGATAAAAGGACTTGTGCAACTCAGTGATATGATCAGGAAATCAATCCCAGTTAAAACTAGGCTCTTGTAATATTGTTGTTTTATTTTTCAGCCAGCCAATCTCACCACTTCAGCTTACAGAACAAACAGCAAAAGTATCAGCACAAGGGAGGCAGGAGAGAATATAAGCAAAGAGTTTCTTGATCAAAATTATCTATTTAAAAAAAGAATATTATGACTGATTTGTGATCAAATCAAAGACTCATTTCCTTGTCAGGCACATGTGTGAAGATAAGAGCTATGGCACGTACATAGCCAGCAGTGTCCTGTGGAGGCACAAAACCACAACTGGATCTGACAGAGGTTGCTTTTTAAAGGTTCTGTGCTTATATGCACTGGCAATCTAATGTGATGTACTCTGACAAACAGTTAAAAACCACTTATTTTGCTGCCTCAGTTATCCCTGAATTAGCTACTCCTACTCATTCTACAACTAAAATATCCTGAAAAACTGGTTTATGACTTGCTTCTCTAGGAAAGCTGAATCAAGGCATGCACAATAAAACAAATGAAGGTGTATAAATCTTAAATCCTAGATTACACTTCAAATAACAAGTTTAAATCAACCATTTCCATGACTGCTAATTTACCATGCCAAATGTTAGGATGAAATTACTGCTAAGTGGTCTCAGAGTTCAGGTGTACTCACGTATTTGATGTCCTCTATTCTTCCTTGCTTGTTAAATAAAGAAGCTACACACTATTCTACTTCTTGATGTGATGACTAATTCCTCTTATTTTTTTTCATTTGTTCTGCATCTGCTTCCATAACCATAGCACTGGCAGTCATAACTGCCAAAAAGGAACAAAATTTATTATTTGTCATCAAGCCAAATAGCTGTACAAACTATATTAATTTACCTTTCAGCATCAGTCTTCGAACCAATAAGGAACCTAAAATATAAAGTATATTTTCAGTCATGAATTGGACTAAAAGAACATATTTTCATAATCACAAGGCTTCAAACAAATGGCACTGCTGTGTTTTTCTCATACCTGCTTGAAATACAAATGATAATGTATCCATTCAATGGACTAAGTATCATTCAGTATTTGAAATACACACTTGACTTCCTAACTATATGTACAATATACACACATGATCTAATATGGTCTCCTTTAACAGCAAATTACCTACAAAGCAAAAGGCAGAATATAAAAGTTTTGGATTTTATATATTTTTTTAAAAAATGTAACTGCTACAGAATTACTTCTGAAAAAGTACAAAGGAAAAGATATGTATAAACCAACACCATACCAGTACACCCAGACTGAAATACAAGTGTGCTGAGGGGAGGTCAAAAACAGTCCTATGCATAATATTTTAACAAACATTTTGTTCCCATTGTTTGATTTAACTTATGCAAATTCCAATTCCCTATGATTTTCCAGACCTCCTAAATAAGTATCTCTCTTTTGCATAACACTTACAGCTCGAAAACTTATTACTATGTTTCTTTAACTTTACAGAAGTTTCTCCAGCTCCAAAAAAAAAAAATTAAAAGTATTTTACTTTACTGAACAACAAAAAAGTTTACTTCACCTTTCATTTCATATGTCAGTTTGCCAAGGATGAGTTATCTAAGTTTTGATGAACTTTAATTGTTAGTGTCTTAGCAATGATTTCCAAAACCCTCTAGGCATTTAATACCTCTATATTAATTTAATTCCCAGCCTTATTACACAACTCTAAGCTAGCACTGTTGCTCCAAAAAGATCAGCACTAAGTATGCGTGCTGATTTTGGCTAGGGTAGAGTTAATTTTCTCCATGACAGCGGACACAGGGCTGTTTTGGATTTGTGCTAAAAGCAGTGTTGGTAATACAAGGGTGTTTTAGCTATTCCTAAGCAGTACTGACAAAGGTCTCTCACAAGCAAAAGGGCTAGGGGTGTTCAAGAAGTGGGGAAGTAACACTGCAAGGACAGCTGACACCAAGTGACCAAAGGAAGGGATATTCCATACATACCATGTGGCAAATAAAGCCAGGGCAAAAAGGAAGAGAGGGGTAGGGGAAGCATTTAAAGAGAAAGCATTTGTCTTTCCCAGTAACCATCAGGTATGATGGGGCCCTGTCCTCCTGGAGACAGGCAAACACATGCCTGCCCATGGGAAGTGGTGAATGAATTCCTTGTTTTGCTTTGCTTGCATGTGTAGGTTTTCCTTGACCTATTAAACTGTTATGTCAAGCCACATGGTTGCTCACTTTTACCCTTGCTATTTTTTCCCCCATTCCACCAGGGAGGTCAGGGGAGGAGAGAGTGAGTGCTTGCATGTTGCTTAGTTGCCAGCTAGGGTTCAACCACAACACTATGGAAACAAACAGTGAATAGCTCAAGTCTAGGCATAAAATACTCTTAAAACTCAGGATGTTTTAAGATTTTCATAAAAAAATAAGAGAATGATTACATACTAGAAGATAAAAATAACTTTCATTAGCAGAACTAAAAGGTTTTCTCAGTCTCACTGCTCCTTGCCTTAGTGAAATTTATAGGCTCTACTCTGCTGCATGGGTTCCTCCACACAAATTATCTGGTATACACAACAAAAACAGCCGAGAGCAGAGAATCTTTGTAGAACCCCAGCCAAAACCAGCATATTCCAAACAATTCAAAATTATGAAGCTTCTCAGAAGCTCATGTTTTTCTTCATTTATTTAGTTCAACTGGATCTAAGAGTAAACAGAATATAGTCACATCTTTCACTTTCATGGCATCAAGCAAATTTTGAGAACAATCAAGATTCTGAGTATCACCAAAAAGGAGTGTAACAACATCTCACAGTGTCTCCACAATTTTCATGACTGGATTTGCTGGTGGTCCTATTTCTCCCCCAATGTATCTTTAATGTAAAAGAATGTACTAATTTAAAATAAAAGTACATCTGAAATATGATGGTGGCATGTACATGTTTTGGTTTTGGTTGTTTTTTTGGTTAAAAAATCTTAAGTCAGACTTCTAGCTCTAGAGTACTTTTGAGTCTGAAAATGACAAATAATGCTTGTTTTCCTCCACTTACTTATCACAGCATAGTTTAAAAAAAGAACATGTAACTTACTGTGATGGAGTTAATAAGTTGTCATTTTCCTCATCACCTTTGAGCGTCTGAATTTTACCATAGTACAAGGGATTGCCAAGAGACTGAAAAATGGTCAGTTTTGTTTTTTGAACCTGATTACCAACTTCACATTCAAACACATAATCATCCTTCATTTCCTAAAAAGACAGAATGATCTAGTAAGTCTTGAACAAGTCTTAGCTGAAAGAGCAAGTAAAGCAGACCACCTCTATATACAATACAGAGTAAGAAACATTCTATAAGTAACTTTAAATAACACTCTATAGGAAGGGGTGCATTATCTAAAATCAAAGTGATTCCAGAAGTTACATTAACAGGACAAGAGGAAAAGGATTTATACCTCTTAAAAATACAAAGTTATTGCAAACCCCAAACGATCATGCTAGACATAGAAATGTAGACTGGGTAAACCTATATAGAAACAGTTTTATATGAATTATGAAAATGCAAAAATGTTGAGAATAAAATGCTGGAGCTGAACATTAAATTCTATGGGGAAGTATTGCTTTTTTCCAACAAGCAACTACAAGGATATCATGATACATGCTGTAATAAAGCTAGTACCTTGCCTCTGAAATTATAAAAAAATAATCAATTATGTGATTTAATCACATAACTAATCAGTGAATTAATTATTATTAATGTGAATTAATCAATGATTATATTAAATTACTATTTCTAATCAAGTCACATCGTTTGTGCCAAAAATCTTAAGGTTCAACTTAAACATTGCAGAAGGAGTTTTTTTGTAAGAGGCATTTAATATTACTCTCTCTCAAAATGTAACATTTTGATTTCAATAAAGCTCTTTTTAATCAGCCTTTGAATGTCTGAGTAAAGAAAGCAATTTGCTGTGCAGATGTCTGTGTAAATAATGATAATTTCTTTAGTACAAGCTTCTTATCCTTGTATTTCTGGAAAATCTGAGGAAATCAGACTGATCACATGCTTGCTTTACTGTATAAAATTACAAGTATCTCTGGAAATCTTCCCATGTCTCTGTAACACATGGAAGATTAATTAAATTGGGGGAGGGAAGATTATTCCACATTACACTGATTTTGTTGAAATAAGAGGCATTTTAACTAGAGACAGTGAAGTTTGGCCAAAGGTCTAAATAACTCACGTGTGCTGGCCAGACAGTTGGTTGTGAGTCATCAGACTTGATAGACTTTTCCACTTTGGCATATTTTTCCACCTTAAACAAAACAGAGAGATCAGAAAAGAAAGAATCCCCTATGTTACCTCCTACGTTTCTTCAAGGAAACTTAATTGAGGAATCCTCAGAACTATACATTTATAGGGTTATAGCACATTTCCTATGTTAAACTTAACAGAAGAGTGAAACATGGTTTCAGACTACAGATTGAAATCATTGCCTGCAATGTGGAACGGTTAAGTAATTTCACCATAACAGTAATTCCTAAAGCCTGTGAGTAAGTCAGGTACATCTCAGTTGAAGTGAAAAGAGAGGTTTGTTTTGTAGAAACTTACACTGTCATTTGCACTCTTGGCAGCCCTATAACGTCCAGAGCTACAGTCTTGTCTAGTCTACAGTCCCTTAAAAAATCTCAGCATAGTAGAGAAAACTTGTGGAAAGGGACCTGGACATCCCGGTTGGTGGCAAGTAAAATATGAGTCAGCAGTGCCCTGGCATCCTGGCACAGCATCACCAGCTGGGCAAGGGAGGGGATTGTCCTGCTCTGCTCTGAGCTGTGGCTGCCTCACCTCAAGTGCAGGGGGCAGTTTTGGGTGCCACAGTATAAGAAGGATATAAAACTACTAGAGAGAACTCAAAAGAGAGCCACAAGGATGGTGAAGGCCCTTGAGGGAAAGCTGCATGAGGAGTGGCTGAGCTCACTTGGTCTGTTCAGCAGGGAGGAGACTGAGGACAGAGCTCATAGCAGTTATAACTTCCTTGTAAGGGGAAGAGGAGGGGCAGGCACTGATCTAAACTCTCAGTGGCCAGTGACAGGACCCCAGGGAGGTACCTGAGGTTGTGTCAGGGGAGGTTTAGGTTGGATATTAGGAAAAGGTTCTTCACCCAGAGGGTGGCTGGGCACTGGAACAGGCTCACCAGGGTAGTGGTCACACCATCAAGCCTGACAGAGTTCAAGAAGCATTTGGACAAGACACATTATATCATTTTGGGGCTTGTCCTGTCCTGCAGGACTAGGAGTTGGATCTGATGATCCTTGTAGGTCCCTTCCAACTCAGGATTTTCTATGAGTTCCTTCTGTAAACTAATAGTATGTGTTCTGGTAGTGCCAGAAACTAAGAATATGAATTCCCCCAAGAGAAAAATGCACACAGAGTGAAAAAAACAACTCTCAGAATTCTCTGCATAAAATCTAAAACTTTTCAAAATATTAATGTCCCATGGTATAACATATCAAAAGGCAGGAATTTCTGCCAAGATGAAAAGTGATTCATATTTAAACAATCTACAAACCTCACTGACTTTTTGGGTTTTCATACTATCAGAGAACTTCAAATAGACATGTGCTCATTGAGCCCACAGAAGAACAATGCTAACAATTTGTTTGTACTGATTACTTCATCCAAACTATTCTGATACAACTGCAATGTATTACAGTGTGGCTTAATTTGTATACCTTATGGTACAAAAAAGTAACTGTAAATGTTAAAGTCACTTCCATTTTTTAAAGGTCATTCTTTGATATGGGTTGCTTCTTAGACACTTCTTCATATAATACAATTTCTAATAATTGCTAATTATACATAACAATTGGTGGTCTTACATCTACTTCAGAAGGAGCAGTCAAGTAGCAAGGGTTCTGTTTCCACATATCTACGCACTGGAAAATGAAAAACAGGATTAATATATTAAATCCTTTAATTAAATAGTTAGAAGTACATTACATTACTTTTCAGAACACTCACATTTCCAGCTTTTGAAATTTTGAGGTCATACTGCTGGGCTGCTTTCCTCTCCTTCCTTTTCTGTAAGTAGTCAAGTAGTCTGAGCTGAGGTGGAGTTGAGTAGTGAGCTACTTCTTGCTGTCTGTTCAGAGAGGACCTTGAGTACCTTTTGAAGCACCTATGGCAAAATGACACTTAAGCTTGTAAAATCACCAACATTAACTTCCCCACTGCCCTTGTACAAAACCAAAAATATGCAGGGAACTGCTATGTACATGGAGACTAATAAGTTTCTAAATACTTATTTAAAATTGCTTTTGGATTGTGACTGGATTAAACTTTACAACTTTAAATTATGATTTCTTATTTATAAAATATACCAGTATTCTGTTCATCTCTTTCAGCACTAAGAATGTGCTTATTTTTTAAATGCCTAATTTAAGTACATCATCAAAATAAGTAATTAAAAAGCTGCCAAGCTTAAAATATTTATGTATTGTCATAATTTCAGTTCCATCAAATGATCCTTGTTCTACTTATGTAACTATAAAGTTATAATGACAGTAACTACCCTCTAGTCTTTGTTTCATGACAAATTCATAGACTCAGTAATGCTGTTCGGGACATACATTTAATCCCTTTTCCTATTTTTCTAGTGGAATATTTGTTGACCATCAAGCTTTAATTTCAAGGACAGCTTGATCAAATTCATTATTTATATTTTTTTCAGAAATTACCGCTGATTTGGTACTAGCATAGTATTTCCATGCAAATTAATTTCAAAATATTTCACTAGTTGTGACAGACCATTAATGCATTTCGTATTTACAGAGCGAATGCAACTCTGGTGATAGAACAAACATGTTGAACAAAGGTTTCAAGCTTCTGTGGAAATAAAAAAGGGCCCAACCATGCACAAAAGTGAAATAATTTCAATATTTTGTAGACAGTGCATATAACATTATTTTCAATTTTTCCAATATTCTTATACACTTACACTTCTGTTTAACCTGAATGTCAAACACACAAATAATTCTTTTCATTTACTCATTCAGGATGAAACTTATGTGTAGTTTTTAACAAATAAGAGATCAGTATACAACATATCTGTTTATATATTTTACATTACTGAGCTGCCATCAGACTCTGCGTACACAAAACCTATGCAAAGAAAACCTCAAATCCAAACTGCAATAAAACTGATTATGTTAACATGTTTATACTTTCCTTTGATATACAAAAATGAGCCCACTACAGTATGTACTAGTAATCAAAATAAAATACAGTACTGAACACTTAAAAAGATGATATAATTTCTTGACTGTTTCTCACATATTCCTATTTAAGTAGGTATAACATAGGAGGAGCTATATAATTTTTACATAAAGCATTACATAAAGCATTACTACTAAATGAAAATACCGTTTCATGGGGCGAGTGTTCATCTTCTGCTTGTTGTACAGGAGTCTGTTTGTAGTACAGGTCACTGCTATTGAAGGATCAAGACACAAAGGCTCTGCTGTAGCCAAAATAAGTTGGCTCTCAAGTAGGAGTTTGTCCTCCTGTAATATACACAACTATTAATAAATATAAAAATTTTTACAGTAGTCAAGTTCCTATATACCTATGCATGTAGACATTATCTTAGAAAAAACCTGAAAAAATTATTAAACAAATAAAAACTGTGAATAAATTTTTGGTTGTGTAATTATGACATCACTGTAAAATTTTTAAATGACCTCTAACCTACCTGTGTCCATTTGTGGTTGTCACTTGTTATAGAATGCACATCACAAATTAAAGTCTGAGGAAAAAGACATAATGGTAATTGTGAATAATAGGATTTGATAATATATGTTCAGTAACTGTGCATATCCAGTCTATGAACTACCACAAATTACTTAAGGCTCCTCTTTACCTGCATTGTAGGTCGCAAAAGAATGTGCTTGCTTTGGTAGGTTGGAGATTTCATGTTACCAGACTGCCTGTAGTCCCGTATTTCTGCTATGACACATCCACAATGGAAAATATTAACCTGGTTGAAAGAAAAACACCAGCTTTTGAATAAACTAATATTTACCAATCTTCCCCTGCCTCTATAAAGAAGTTTGCTATATAACATATAAAATTCAGTGAAACTAGGAATAAAACTCATGACTACGTTTTTCAGACCAGCAGTCTTTTCTATGTACACAGATATGTTTGTCCTAGACACACCTAAAGTACAAGCTTCAAATGCAGTGTTTTCATATGCCAGCAATGCAGCTGTAAGAAATTCCCATGCCAAACATTCCATAATGACAAAGAACAAAGGAAATTTTGCTAGGGTTGAAGATGTTTCACAGCTGTAATCATAGCAATCTCTCTTATCTCCTTCTCCTCAGTAGTAAGTACTGGTTTTTTTCCTATATATCAATAAAATATTTAGTTGGGGCATTAAATACTACAGTTTCATATGCACAAGTGTCTTGTGCTTATAATCATCTATGTGAAGCATTCAGAAAAATCAAGGTTTATCTGGGTGCAATACATAAGTTCTTTTTGAAAACAGAAATTTCAAACCTGAGATTTTTCTAAAAGATCAACCAGAATAGGTGGTAGTTCCTCTGCATCCAAATATTCAAGCAGTTCTCCTTCTTCATAAGGCAGACGAATGGTCTCAGAGTCTGAATTTAAACAAAACATATTACCTTTGTGTTTCAAAAAAACACATTAAGAAATCTAAAACAAAGTTGGCACAGGAAAAAGCAAGGCTGGCAGAAACCTATCCACACATACCATTTTTTCGGATACTATTATTTTTTACATCCATTTCTGTACTTAGAGTTTTAGTTTGCTCGTACTGTGCTAGCTTTTGCTCCCAGGTGACATAATGTATGCTCTTATCGCCCATGGCAGTACAAATGGCATGAAAATGACACCAAAGTGGAACACTAATGCCTCTGGGCAGATCTAGACATGGGAAGCAGTGAAAGAAACAGTTTGACAGGAGGAACCTGAAGTGAATGAAACTTGCATATGCAGCTGCAGAAACTAAGGGAAAATAAGAGACTGGAAAGCTATCAAAAAGACTATATCTACAGATTTTGTCTGTAGATAAACAGCTCAGAGCTTTATGCAAATTTTTAGCTCAAGTACAGTTGGTTCTTCTCCCACCTCCCAGTGCAATTATGTTGCAATTATGTAACAGATAAATGTAAACAACAACACATTCTAAAAATTTATGCAGCATTCTGAGTATTTTTTAAAATTCAAGAGAAGAATATTACCTGAACCATTTTTTCCCCTGAGCATCAGCGAATAACCCTCATTTCCTGGGTAGAGGTTTACTACCAGACACGACAACGTCTCCTGCATAACCAGCTTCTCAAGTAAGTTCACATTTCGTCTCAGCTTCTGCTTTAAAAGTAAACATTGCTCATGAACATAATACTATGAAATAATTAGCAGAAATAAAAACAACAGCAATTGTTTTTATTAGACTGTTGCTTAGATTAATGACAAATTACACATCTAAACAAGCCCAGTTAAATTTAACTGTACTGTAGTCAGCAGGGTAAGCGTATTATGTATCATGCATGTTTATAGACACAGATTTTTGTAAAAAATCCCACTCATTTAAAATTACAAACCCTAGAACTGGAAGTTCACATACAGAGTTAATAAGAATAACATTATGCTAAAATGTTGTAAATCTACAGTGCACCATTATTTGTATCATTCTACAAACATCATGAATCCAGTACAACTTGCTTGGTAACAACAAAATATTTAGTACTTTCAGATATTCCTAACAGAAGGCAGCATTTCTCTCCAGGGTTAAAATAATGTACATTTGGAAGCTTTCTTAATTGCGTTTTCTTGTCTTTATTTGCTGAAATTTGATCCTGCAGCCACAGACACTATTCCTGTATTGAACTGTAAAACTATCTTTTCGATGTATAACAGATTTTTATAATTATTTGATGTGTTTCAGAGAGCACATAAACATCCTACAAATTTAAACATTTGAAATCCCCTTAGAACTTAAGACAATGAATTCTGAACCTCAGATAACTTAACAGCCTCTGGCTGGAGACCATATTTCATCTCTGAATACGAGTTCTGGGTACAATCATCAGCTGGGAGTTAACCTGAGTGCTCATTTGTCTTCTCATTAGTTTTACTTCCTTGAAAGCAGCAATACAGCAGGTTCCACAGCTTTATCTGGTTCAATTTGACATTCAGATTTTAGCAAAGATAAGCCTCCTTGAGTGTCTTTGCTAACATTGTGAAAATTTTTCACAAAACTTCTTAGCTTACCAACAACTGGAGAAATTAATCAGAATTTACAACAAAATTACAGGGTCTGAAAATGTTCCACATTTTTCCATGGCAGTCACGCTAAGCAATTGATTGTGAAACAACAACGCACATGGCACTGACACTGGCCCAGAACTTGTCAAGTGACCTTCAGTGACACAGGATTAAGACAGAATGAACAGCTCACTAAAGCAATCTAGGCCTTACTCTTCACATTATATAGTCTTATCTTTAAGTGACTACTACAGTAAGAAGGGTTTATACTTGATTTAACAAAGAAATTAAGTGGAATTAAAACCAAAGTATTTTCTCAACCTGCCTGTTTAGACAGAAATGAAAAGCTTTTCAGCAATTTCCACTTACCTTTATCTCAGGCTCTTTTTCACATTCTTCAATATATAAATCATAAAGTTTTTGAAATACAGATTTTCTGAAATTAAAAAGACTCAACATGTAACCAAAATTAAATCAAAGAAATGCTATTAAAAAACTAAATACTGAAACTCGTGGTACCTTCCACTGGATAAATATTTTCTTTTGGGAGGTCTCTGACGGGCACTTTCAATGATATACTAAAAGAGAAAAGTAAACAAGAAACCAGCATGCATTACAAAGAAATTTAGTTCTAGCTACCACACAACTAGAGATCATTACCAGACTGTGTTCCACGTATACAGAAAGTAATTAACAATTACAGTAGAAGACTGTTCCAAAAGTGCAGTAAATACAATGTTATGTTACAGTCATCAACAAGAACACAACTCAATTTAGCTGTCAAAGACAGCATTTCATGCCCATGGCATCCAGTTCCATGCAAGGTCTTGATCCTACACTCACATCTTTTAATTACAGTAGTAACTAACACTACAACACTACTGTACTTAGCTACTACTACTGAAGTTCATGTTAACACACTAAGGTACAACCAAGTTTATGCATACTGGCTTGACAACATTTACAAAGCAAATAATCTTCAACATGACAATTTCAGGAAGTTCATCCTTTGCCTTTTGCATTTAATTATTTTTCTCTATAGAGCTATGCCTTGTAAATACAATTCATGTACATTAAACATTTGAATTAAAAAAGAATAAAAGAGATAGCATCCTCCAGAAAATGTGATTTATATTCTAACAAGGTTTTTCCAAACCTCTGTTGTTTGAAGTACTTAAATTAACAGGTTTTTTCAGAATTTATGTTCTCTCACAGGAACATGTATTTCCTGTAACAGGGCTCAAGGTAACTGTTATATCAGATGACAGCATTAAGGAACATGAATGTGAAGGCACTTGCCTCTTCATTCTCACAAGGCTATCCTTAAAAACACAAACAGGATTTTACCACATATTTCTGCCTGCTTATTCCACAGCACACAGATTTGCTGGTTTAGAAGGGGAAAGCTCAAGTCTTGCACAGTCTATCACCATTGCACTTGATGATGCTCTCAGTACAATAGATAAGAGACAAATACATGACAGCAATTTCAGTTAGAATTCTGCAATCTCAGTGTTGCATGTATAGGTGATTACACACGTATATATTTACATAACATGGTTTTCTACCACTCTTCAGGAGAAATAAAAAAATAGCTGTTGTATTTTTATAACTCTAAGACCAATAAATTATGTACAAACAAGCAATTTAGCTTCTTACCTCAGCACGATCCAATGCCAGTTCTAAAGCTTGTTGCTGCAAGAATGACAAAGGGTTTTTTAGAAATTATATGACCTTTTTTTAACATCCTCATACATTAAAAACACCCCAACAACCCTACTATAACTGATACAAATTTATTATTAGAAGATGGACTCAAAAATTCTTTGGCACATACTAAACTTAGCTAAAACCTCATGTAACTGCATCACAAGGCTTGGCTAAATTATGAAGCCTTAGAACAAAAAAAGGCAATTAGAATCAAAAGCAAGAATGGAAATTACACCTAATAAAAGCATTAACAAACACTACCCAAAACAATTAGAGATGGCAACTAGAAAACCAGATCTCCTTTGTTAAGCTGGTCACCAACTCAACAGAAAGGATAGGCCAAAATATCCCCGAACAGATGTCCAGGAAGAAAACATTTATCTTTTAGATACCAGTGCCCAAGTATCAGCACAGTTATTCTTCACAAGGTGGAAACAAAGATCTTGTGCTCAGAACTTTACTTCTGCACATAACACAATTTAAGAAGTGCTCCATATGATATACTGTTAGGTGGCTAGGAAACAAAACCAACTTCCACTAGACTTTTTCCAAGGTGGGCTAAAAGTCTGCCCAACTCCATGAAACACAACAAAATCTGCAAAAGCTTCTCAATATCCCATAGCATGGTATACTCAATACCATTTATTTTAATGAATTTAGCTCTTTTGGAATGTTCTTTACTTCAGTACATCTGCACCTGATATAGTTTTATTTAAAAAAGAGCCCACAACTTCATAGATCAGAATTACGAGTTCTTGGACTAAAATTTGACAAGTATTTCAAACCAGAATAAAAAAAAGCACGAGTGTCAAAATAAAAAAAAACCAAGAAAGTCTTCCTTGGTTTCTAATGTTCTTTCTCTGGCACTCACTTAAGCTCTGACATCCTTTGTGCAGGAATAATGTGCAGCTGCTAAACGAACCAGACAATGGAAGTGACTTGGAGCAGGGAGGAAAAAAGGGAACACTATTAAGAACCAAAGCATTGTAGGAGAATGCCAGGAGCTTGATTCATCTCCAGGTAAGTCCAGAGAAGCAATGCATTCACTTCAGTGGCAGCTGGAAAATGTCCTTAGTAATGTACTCCTGACAAGCACTAATACTCAGTGAAGCTTAGGAACATTTGCAATGGGTACCTCTTCCCAAACATGCTTTTGTCCTATTCCCTCAGTATAAACCATCCCTATCAGCTGCTCCTAAAAGCAAACACCTCTACTTGAGCCTCAAGGAACAGAAGACACACAAGCCATGTCCAGTCCAAGGTAGCACCAGTGATTACACAGGTAATATTTTATTAGAATAGAATACAGTGAAGAAAACCATACTACACAACAACAAAAGAACAACAAAGAAATATACAACAAAAACACTCATATAATATACCTAAAACAAAATTTCTTACCTGTTCATGAAAATCCCCCCACCTACTTACCATGCTACTGTGTGGTAGAACCTGCCATGACAGAACATTATGATTTTCAAGTGCCTAGGTGTTTTTATGAAAATGTTAAATACTGATCTTTCTATATAAGAGAATATATCTAGTAGATACTTCAACAATACCTAAGACTAGGTATGATTTCAAATATTCAATTCACTGACTGTTTAACATTAGGTAAAAATCCATGTCAATATTAGCATCTGTGAACAAAAGACTACTATGTAGAAGTAGGATTTATATACACCAAATTTCCTGCTACCACTCCTGACTGAAAACACCACTAGCATGATATGGCAAATCCTATGCTGCACTGGCCAGTGAGTAAGTGTTTAGAAGTATCCAAAAGCTATGAAGACACTCCTGAAAAGGGAAATATCAGAATTCAGCAGTAACAAGCAAAACAATTTTTTAAAAAGAAAATGTCAAATATTAGTGGCATTCTTCTCATCAGCCAGACAGTTAGCAGACTAGAGCAAAAACATCTGAAAATATATGATCAAAATCCTAACTTACCATTGTAGTTGAAGCCATGTGGCCAAATGGCAAAAGAAGTACTTAAGGAGTTTCGTGTAGCAGGCAAAGAATCATATTTGATGGTCAGACTTGGGGTACTAAAAGCAAAAAATTCAAGGAGAAAAAAAATACCATTGAGAAACGAAATGGGTATTTCATTTAAATACAACTCTTCTGGTTAATTCTACTTTAATTTCATTAGCAGAGTTTCCTCCAAGAGTAGAAACAAGTGTTCCACTCGCTGCTAGTGCAGAGGCTCTCACTCCAGTGACTACTACTACTATTCACAATCATTTTACATTAGTGTTATTCAACAGTAAAGCAACACGCACGTAAACGTACATACACTTTTCTCTATCGCAGCAGTCCACCTAGTTTGCTAGGTGTCACAACCTCAGATGCACAGGAGGCTAGAACACTTAATGAAAAGCAGAGAGTTTAGCACACCGCATCAGCTCTCTTGTTTTGCTTTTGAGAAGGTGTTATTAGCCAACACCATAGCCAACACTTCCACTAGTGGCGTCTTCTAGCATTGTTTGGTTTAAAACTGACTCACAGCAAGCTGTCAATCAAGAAACGAAAAAAATTTGCTGCCACCGCCGGGGCGGAGATCGAGCGGCGCAGCCCCCGACGGCAGCAGCCGGCCGGGAAGGGCCGGGCCGGCGCAAGCCAAGGGCGCAGGCCGGGCCCCGCTTCCCTTCCCGCCCGGTCCGGCCCCGTCCCGCCGCCCCTCCCCGGCCGTGGGTGCCCCGTGCCCGCCGGTACCTGGCGGCCTCTCCCGCGGAGCCCCCGGCACAGCGGCCCCGCCGCCCGCCCGCGCATCCGCCCCCGGCGCGGCGCCCCGGCCGCTTCCGCCCCGCCGCTTCCGAGCCGCGGCCGGAAGGGGCGGGCGGGTCGCCGTGGAGACCGCGAGGGGCGGGCGAGGGCGGGGAGCGCCGCCGGGGCCGCGATGGAGGTGGGGGTGTGGGTAGGTGAGGGTCACGGATGGGCGCCCAGGAGTTCGAGGGGTTTAGTGGTAGTAAAGAGCCTGGACTGCGCTGCGAGTCACAGCTTTAATGCCGTTGTGAAGATCAGGATGGGCTGCTGTGTGTCTCAGGGATGCTGTAAGGATATTTGGTGTGTCCATCTCTTGGCCCTGCCCGTCCCCAAGAGTCACACCGTGTGCGTGAGAGCAGTGTCCAAACACTTCTCAAGCTTGGTGCTGCAGTCACTTCCCCGGGAAGCCCATGGGCCGATGGAGCCCAGGAACATCACACTCAAGCTCTGCCAGGCACATCTACACCACACATTGCACATATGTCCCTGAGCACAGCACTTTTATGACTTGTAGCATGTTTTTCCCGGACCTTTTTAGCATTTCTGGCTGAGCCATAATTTATTTGTTCGCAGCAATGAGTGAACGTGCTACCCTGTGATCCAGCAGCCAGTCCTATAGGAAAAAACACACCTAACACCACCCTTCAATGCCTTTGTTAACCTTGCGGTGCTGACATGTTCTAGCTAGGGAGGACTTGAAAACTCAAGAAAATGTAGACACTGGGAGCCCTAGGTAGCTCTGGATAGAGTGAAGTGCTTCTTGTAGGACTACACAAGTACTTTGTCTTGGTGCTGACACTGTTTTGCTCTCAGCACTGGATTCTTAGGAGCCGTTCTGTGTCTCACAGCATAGCCGAAACACTGGGAATCAATTACTGGCTGTGTCTAGAGTATCTCAGAGGTTCTCAGTGCATAGAATAAAAACATCTGATGAGATCACTGTTCTTCAGCTGTGGGAATAAATAAGTTGGACACCTATTTTCAGCAACAGGAAGGCTAGTTTATTGATTTTTTTAGGAGCCCATGTTGTTCCTGAGCAACAGAGAAAAGATGGCCGGAATCCTGTCCTGGAGCAGGAACAGGTGGCAGCTCTTCCTTGACTCATCTAGGCACTAAATAGATGTATGGTCCAACAATTCAGCAACTGCATTTCATCCAATTTGGAATCGCTTTTGAGGATGCAGTGGTGCCATCCTTTCACCTATTTTTTTTCTAAATTTATGTGCAGTATGCCCTGGGAGTACCAGAGTTCTGTAGCCATACTCGTAGACCTGTCCCTGTACAAAATTGCAAAGCTGTTCTTCATTTTCCTGTGCTCTTTCAAAATTAAATGGATTACAGGCCTATGAATCTGAGTCAGATTTATATGCTGAGGCTGAGACAGTAATTCAAGTAGGGTCCCTCTTATTTGAGTATAAACATTAAAAAGAAATGACAGCATGCTGTAAGTAGAAAGTGCTTCATTCAAGTCAGTCCCCTGTAGGCATGGGGATGAAACTTAGGGCAAACAGCCATGAATTCCTGAATTTTAAATCACTTATGTCACTGGCTTTCTGTGTGGGCAGTTATAAATCCCTGTGGTAACATTTCCTACCCTGATTATGTACATCTGTATTCAAGACTTAAATGATTTGCAGACGTGAAGAAACTCCACAGCTTCCATTTTCTTTTGTAGACAGATATTTCTAATGTGACTGTTTAAATAGAATTTTAGAGGTCTGGCAAGTGTAGCACAAAGCTTGAGAGATCTGTGTTCTTCAGCTGGGGACATTACCCCTGTCTTAGTCAGCCTCCTGCTGGTCAAACAAGTCACTCCCTTGGGATTTGGCTGCCTTGAAGAGTTCCTCCAACTGTGGGAGCATTAACTCATAGAGACACCTAGAATTATCTGTCTCCATCTCAAACTGAGCCTTTCTGCAAGTTCATACCTCAGCTCTGAGGTGCTTTGTAGAGACACCTTAAAAACAGCCTTGATTTTTTGAATTTTCTGACTTACAGTTTGTGGCATAGGCATGTCTAATTCCATTCTTTCCCTATTGCTCCCCACTTGACAGTTTGAACTTGACAGTTCCTATTAGGCACAGCAAAAACTGTTCAGTAGGAGATAAAGTGGGTAAAAGCTTGCTTGCATTTCTGTACACAAAAATGTGGCTATCAGAGAATTAATTCAGGAGCTAACAATCCTTTTCAGGATAGCAAATAAAGCAAGGAGATTTAATAGAGGTGGTAAGTCTGAGACATTGTGAGCCACAGGGAGTAAGCCACAGGCTGAGGTTACTAGGGCTGATTTTTGGATACAGTTTTTTCTGTTTTTTTGAGAAAAGCAGGGAGAAGAAAGTAAAAACTGAGGACATGTACGGTGGTCAGAATAGACTGGCTTCCTGATGGTCTGGAGGCAGGCAAGGCAACATTAGCTTGGGCCTGAGGAGGTTATGCAGTCCAAGCTGTACTTTAGATAGGAAGGCTGCTCTGGCTGGTCCTTTTCTTGACATGGGCTGACATAGAAACCCTTATGAGAATGCCAAAGCATGCTTATAGTAATTAATGTCTCATGATGCTAGCTCAGTCTGGTATTTGGATTTGGGATAGGTGTCATATTCTTTCCAAGAGCCAAGGAACCTGTGGTTGGAGGAGTTTGGCACTGAAGGCTTTTCAAGGAGAACTTAGGGCAATACAGATATAGCCAAAAAATTCGAGTCTATGATGCCAAACATACCTAGCTTGCTAGCACATAAAGGGAGGCTTATAAAGAAACCATTATATTTAGAGTATTTCTGGGAAGATAATTTTGTCCAGTACCAGTTGATCCAATATGAGCAATCAAAGCAGTGAACTAAACAGTGAGGTTGCCATGGCAAACCATAGTGGAACAATAAGACGAGGCCCTCTAATTAAGGCACTGATGTCTGAGTGCAAGAATCGCAGCGTAGCAAAGTTAAGGGCAGCCTCAGGATCCCTAGAAATTTTTGTCAAATTATTCTTATTTGGCAAAGTCTAATATATGTGTTTGGATTATGAACAAAATTAATTTAGATATTTAATTAATAAATCTGTAATAAGGATAGAAATTGGATGTTTTCTTCTCCTTAAAGGATTAAAAATCACATTTTTTATTGAGCATTTTCTCTAATGAATAAGCAAAGAAATGTACTATTTCTACATAATTAATTTTTGGATGGGCTACTCTGACTGAGTAGTCCAAACTTCATAAGTAACAGATTTGTTGGCCTTCTCTTGCAGAACTCAGAATCTGGATAACATATCTGCATATTTGCTTTTTAAACTTTTACAGATGATGTTAAAGTGCAGTGCGTTTGTCACTCTTTGGAAGAGGTATATTTTTTTAAAAATAACAATAACAATAGCACTTATTATTATTATTATCATTATTATTATTAATATTATTATTATTGTTGTTGTTGTTGTTGTTGTTATTTTCCATAGTGTTGCCTTGTTATGTTCTGTCTGTCTAGTTTGGCCCGATTCCCATTTGCTTAGTTCACAGCAAACCAGAACAACATTATATTCATTAAGCAGGTATATAATGTGACACAAAGAGAATCAGCTTTCACAAGTGCTGTCACGAAACTTCTGTGCTGGAGACTGTAGGGCACGTAGGAAGGAGTATGGCAGAGTATCTGTGGCTATCCTGTTAAGGCTGTCCATGCATCATTTATCCTGTGTCAGGAATTTGAAAGAGGGAGACCACATTCCCATCGCTTTGTGTCTTTCATTGGCCTTCTAGATGAAGGCAGCTGAATTTAATTGTTTTTATGTTTTAATGTTGTCTCTTGCATATTTTCTGCTGTCTTTATGTGGAAGCCTCCCATACTTAATTGGAAAATTATTTCAGTAATCTTGTCAGAGCTCTGGATTTAATTTTCACAGTGGGATAAAAATAACAGGAAACCTAAGATCCTCAGTCTTTGGGTAACTGGAGTGTATCATGCAAGTGTTAAATTTTTACTGAATGTAATAGAGGTTCATAAACCTTTGCAGCAATCAGGTCTTAATCTAGTTCTTAGATCACAGAAAAATAGGAATGTACTTATCCCTAGCCTGTCTTACTTGTTTTTCTGAACCCAGTCATAGGTATCTTTCTTTTGGTCTGAAGGTAAGTTAGCAAAAAAAAAGATAAGTCAAGCAAACTTTGCAGATAACTAAGAGTTACAGAATACAGAGCTCCCAATGGGAATGAGCAGTCATCTGCTGAGAATCAAAACACCTCATCAATCAGATGGATGTTGGCTTAAGGCAAAACCAGTACTGCTGTTAGCCTGCAATTAATTTTCATCTGTTTAATAAAACAGCTATTCCTTGGCTGATTGCATGCCTTTGCTTTCTACATTTTCCAGGTTTAAATGATATTGTTTATGAAACCAGCTTAGCATGTTATCCTGCCTGCAATATTGTTTCACTGAGCCCACTAGAGGTCAGGGCTGTACTGCTAAGGTAAATGGTTAAAAATCAGCTAGGGAGAAATCTCTTAAGAGGTTACCAGAAGTAAGAGTTATGTGAGAGACTTCTAAATTATGGAAATTTAGAATGTGTTACATAATACAGCTTATATTAAATAATCCATTGTATTTACTACTGGTAAGTAGGTTAGTTTGGCAGATCCACAGTTATTATAAAATTATAGAGCAGTGAGAAAAATATCTAATCTGTTTTTTTAATTATTATATCTCTAAATTTCTATCAAATTGCTATTGCAGTTTTAGTTTCAGCTTTGTGATTGCATCTTATACACTGGTTATCTAAGTATCTACTTGAAGAGGAGCAGAGACAGGTATAAGGAATTTTTCTTAGTTCTGTAGAACAAGAGTTAATTCAAGTCCCATAACTTTCTCAGCAATATTTTAAAGGAAGGATACTAATGGTTGGTAATCCAAAGCAGGGGTAAGGTCTTCAACATCACATTTCACACACAGTCCTGTGACTTCTGTGCTTTACTTGCTGGTAATAGGAACTGTTTTAATCTTGTTATGAGTAACTAAAATGCAGCACATGATCAGTACTTTGTTCATCC